GACAAATTTCTGTAGAAAAAACGGAAATCTGAATTTTTGCTCATTCTTTAAAGGATAACAGCCCAACAAAAATTTTCGTACGGCAAATTTCATAGCTGTTTTTGATAGATTTTTTTTTTGTGCTGATAACGAATCCGTAAGCATAAAGTTTCCATCAGCTTCAGTGCAAAACAATCGTGGTTTTTGCAATATTTTGAAAGCTCTAGCCAGGACGCAGAAGGTGATAGAACCTTCCTGGCTTAAATTAAACCTAGATCTCTCGACTACTATCTCTGAAAAGAGATCTTAAATATTTTGGATCTTAAATTTTTTTTACCATTATTATCATAAACTAAATGATGGAGAATTTGTATGCCTATTTCCCTCCACCGGGGGGGGGGCGGGGGTTTGTACACTTCTATTCTGCACTTCGCAGATGCTTTTTTATAGCTTGGTAATACAAAACCGAAATTTGTGTTAATATTTCAACATCTTGGGACCGTCTGGAATCTAAGCAAGCACAGCGAGCACCTCCAACTCAGCTACAGCCAAAGCCTTTGGCCCAAAGGTATGTAAACGTACATTTCTTACAATCATTCAAACAAATTTAATTTCTAATTGAAAACACATTTCTTTCAAAGCAACTTAAAACTGCACACACGGAAGAACCAAAAAGATTTAAAAATCATGATAATTTTTTCTTTCGTCCTCCGATTTTAGAACTATAGTTCGGAACCATAGAATTTAGGACTAGTACGGAACTATCGAAAAAGGGATGCAGCGGGGGGGGCAATTGACACTTCCTAGGACATCGCGATGTTAAATTCGCCAGTTGCTTGCATGCAAAAGAGATTTATCGCGAACCAGTACTGGGTCTAAATGTAAATAGGCGCTAACCACTAACCGTTAACATGTTAAGAAGGGCACTGTCGCCGTTAGAGAAAAATTTTCTTTGGTAGTAATGATGGTGCAGTCAAAGTAAGGAAGATGTTTTCGCGATGGAAATTAATTTCTTTTCAAAGACGTTTTTATGCCATTCAGTCATCTGTTACTTTCAACTCAGTGTTTTTCTAATGTGCATATATTTACTATGTAATGAAATTACCTATATGATTTCAGTGAATTTAATTGTAAATAAAACGATGGATACGTATATAAAATGCCATTTCATTATTTTTTTTATATCCTAAACTGATAAAGTTAGAAGGACGAAATTCGATGATGTGGTAGTGTGCATATGAGCCCTTAAAATATAAAGACGTTTTTGGAAAATAACTGTTTTAAATTTTCAAGGATACAGTTTTAAAAGGAAAATTTTCAATATGTATTCCTACTTTTTCACAAAGTTTTGTTTAATTTCACAGAAATTTTTATTTCATTTGCCCTATTGTTACACTGAATTTTTAAATAATTTGTTTAATTGTTGATATATTGAAAAAATCAAAGTCTTTAAAAAAATCCGTATGAATGTGATATTAATAGCAAAATATCCTTACACTTATCTTTATAGCTTTTATGAATATGAAATGGTATCTATTATAACTTTGGTCCTACCAGAAGAAGAAGAGATAGACCCACATACATGTTTGCCAAAATGATCAGAACGTCGAGCAGAGCCGATTTAGCCATGTCCGCCTGTCTGTCTGTTTCAATGCAATCTAGTAAATCAGTTTTCGAGATATCTGCCTGAAATTTGATGAGCGGATGGATGTATTTTTATAATGCGTTAATTATTTGTGGGAACCGGAAAAATCGGACCACTATAACATATATGTAGCTCCCATACAACCGATTGTTCAGATATGGGGTTTTACTTCAAAACTCCTTCATTTGGCGGGCTAAAGCCGAGAAATCACAAAAAGTCACTAAGCAAATCGTGAAGATCGGTGTTGTATAAGCTATGTATATCTCCTATACCACTGATTGTTCAGATACAAGCTTTTGCGATATGACTCCTTTACGTAGGTAGCTAAAACCCTTAAGTAAATTTGTTACCAGTTTGCATATCTTCCATACCCCTAATTGCTCAGATGTGAGTTGTTTATATAACACCTCTATATATGCAATGAATATAAAATTTTAGTTTAGCTTCCAAACAACTAATTTCAAATGCAGTAATCGGTTGAAGTACAATTTTCTGACGTTCATGAAAGATATAAAGGCGTAGGCATAGTCGAAGACAGCACTGACTTGTTTGCTAATTCTTGACAATAGCTAAACAAATTTCGGAAAAGTCTCATTTATAAATACGTTGACGTAACAAGTAACATAGAAAAAAGTCTGGCCAGACTCGCCAGCCTAACGAAGGGTTAAGAAAACTTCCAACCGTCGAACGACTCCTGCAACTATTCCAATAAAAAATGTGATATATTTAGGGATACGAATTTCGATACGATACGATACCATATCGATTTTTTTGCCATTCGATACAGATACTTTTTACTCGATACGATATTTTTTGGCATCGAGTAACAGAACACTGGTATCGTATCGAATCATAAATGTACATTACAAAATTAATGTGATTAATAATATAAAATGAAAAATTTAACAACTCTGGGAATTGGTCAAGCCTATTTGTATAAAATTTTTTGTAGTAATATTTGAAATATTTAAGGTAAATTTTTTAAGTTCCAAAATGCACATATAATGTAAAAATCTGCTCTAATTTTTTATCAGCCGAAGAAACTGAAGTGGCATTACATGACGTTACGCTACTAAAGTATTCATTGCAACTTTTTTTGTTAATATTGCTTTTCAACGATTTTTTAGCGCAAATAAAACATGAATTTTATGTCTAATATATTTTTTTATTTCGACTTCAGCTTTACCTAGCGGTTCCATTTTTTGCAAATCTATGTCGTACTATGACCTTCCGCTGGAAAAGCCCATACGTCTATACTTTGGAATTTACATACATGTAAAGCAATATGGATATATTTGGGCTTTAAAGAGCACTATCTTAGGTTGGCATGTGGCGGGATTTCAACCCGCGCCATCGGTGATGTCATTTAATACACTTACCCTCTACCTATACATAAGCAAACACCTATTAAAGTTCAAAGTGTTCATTCTTTTTAAGAAAATTAGACCAATGTTCAGATTTAATTTTGTGAATTTGGTATCTATATTTGGAATATGGAGTATTTTTATACCGATATTAAGGGGTACCCGATGTTTTTACAGCGATACTTTAACGGAGTACTGTATCGATACTTTCGGTTTGAGCACTTTATTCGGCCAACTAAATTATTTTTTCTCAATTTTGAAATAAGTTTTAGGAAGAATTTTTGTGATTTAGTAGCTCAAAAGTGTACAACAAAAACAGTGGTTGTATATTTATTACAATCTCAGGCTATGGTCAAACTGTGAAATTGAGATAAGCGGACCAATTTTAGCCTTTTTGTTAGCAATCGGCTCTTTATTAGAGCAGTACGAGTGCTTTCTACAAAAAAAAGAAACTATGCCGATTAGCTAGACCTGCAAAAAATACGTATGTGTTTATGTAAATAAGATAGCCATTCCTTCTTAATAACCTACA